AATGCAGAATGAGCGGTGCTAGGGGAGCATTGCCCGATGACACCCTTCATACAGGGTTAATGTATTCCGTTACAGAATCTTGTTGAAAATTGAGCCCAGTTCGGCGACGGGGAGGCATTTTGCACTTTTGTTCCCTCACTAGTTCCGGTTACAAGTCTCACTCTAGTGAAACCTATGCACTCTTGTGATTCTACGGCAAGCTCGTCCAGCCACCCTGGTAGGACCTGTCAATCTTGTGAGCTCACGAAGTGGCTCTCCAGATGAGTCGATACGTCAATGGGAAGTAGCAGAAGTGCAAAATGCCCCCCCCCCTCCGTTGCCGAACTGTCCCAAAAATCGTTTCAGGAAAATAAAGTGCAGTACCAAAGGTACTAATTATTAAATACTGAGAATAGGTAGGTCACCTTTCCATATTCTGTAATATAGTATCTGGTATAGTTTTGAACAGCTGAGCAACTGTCCTTCCAACATGTACCGCATCTGTGGAATGGATCGCAGTCTGTAATCAGCACAGTAACGATTGTGGAACATTGTGTTGTGCACTTCCTGGATAGTTGACTAGAGAGACTGCAGTACTTCCACATTGAATTAATTAAGTAATGGTGCGAATGTCGCGCGTGTGACGGTTTTGACAACATCACCTTTTTCGCTTCGGCTGCAACTTGAACAAACGTCTCATACCCACCCCACAGCGTAGCAGATCCGTACCGCGTTTTGATGAACTGCTTCAGAAGAGCATTTTCAGCACAGATGCGGAATTCCGTTCATTTGTGAGAATATATACTCTAGTTCGCTGCGGACGGTTGGGCGTGTCAGGCAGTATGAGTGTGTCACCCGTCAAAGCCGTTCTCTGCCTTCTTGTTGAAGCGCGCATGCGACAAAAGGTAGAAAACGAGTAATACGAACGATATGATACAGTCATATCACTTGCTCGCTTTAACAACTGGTGGAGAACGGGTTTGGCACCGCGCCAAACTCATCCCGCCTGACACGCCCAACCGTCCGCAGCGAATTACACTATTAGTGGGAATTAATACATGTGAAGAATACAAAAGAGCTGAAATGACTTCAAGCATGGATCTCAACTAGACATCTTGTTTTCAGGATTAGGCGAAAAGCTTTCTAAGATAGTGAGAACTGAGATTAGCTTCTGGTTTCCGCAATCAAGTCGAATTCTGCCTTATCGTATTCATATATATCATTCTATTTAATCCTGTTCAAGCCAATATTAGAACAGCTGC